CAGAAAATTCAGGTTTCTCTGCATACCCTCTAACACTGGGTATTACTGCTCGTTTGGATCTTCTGCTACAGGTACTGTGGACATTTATCATTGTTACTGCCCAGCATCGATTCCTTTTTCTTCTGATAACAGTACCTCTAATTGCCTTTGGGAACTACACCTCCCAAACTCTCTTTCAGTTTGAGGAGCCTGACGTATTTCCCTAGCTTGGCATGGGCAAGTGACCACAGCTTAGCTCATCAATGTCCTGTGCATGCCCAGAGAGGAACACGTGACCTTACCGGCCCAATGAGAACCAACCCCTGGACTTTTCCTGAAATATTGAACAAGGATTCTCTTCCCACTGCCCTCCCATCCCGAGGTGATTCAACTGTTGGCACGTAAACCACAGGGAGAGCTCGGTCCTGCCTGCGAATGAAGCCTACACAAAAGAAAACAGCCAAGAGGGGAGAAAGGACTGGCAACATCTTGAGGAACATCATTTGAGAATTCCCCTGGATCTAGCTTTATCTGAAGCCAGTCAACGTTCTTGAACTCCTTGGTTGTATAAGCTGATATATTTATCATTATTAATAATCAGTAGCAATAGTATCTTGCTTAAACTGGTTTGATTCTGTTTTGACTACTTGCAGCAGAAGTAATGCTGATGTGTATGGGAACCTCCAAGGCCTTGCCTTAGGAGTTGCTGGTCAGAATTCTCTGGAACATTGCGGTAGAGTTATCAGTGCTCCCCCTAAAAAAGGTCCCCCCTCTTCTCCTTCTAGCACTTCAGTAAGACTGCTCTTCCTGTCTCCTCTGACGTTAGATATCTAACTGTGTGAATTGCTTTGGCTGGTGCCATGTTGCCAGAAGAGACCTGCCTCACTTCCCGGTGGGATTTTTAAGAGCCTGTGCATGGTTTGTCACGTTCTCTCTTCCCTGCCTCCATGAGCCTGGAAACCTGGATCCAGATGGATCACCTATTTACTTGGTTCTTGAGTGACCACTATGAACAGAGACCCATGCCAATCCAGACTGGGTATGTAGCGTGCATGAGAAAGATGCTTTCTTTGGATTAAACTGCTGAGATATGGTTGTTTATTATCATAGACAGAGCCTAACCTAGCCTTTCTGAAACAGTTTCCCTGGGGAAAAAAAATGAAGGATGGTTTTTTTTTTTTTTTTAAAGATTTTATTTATTTATTTGACAGAGGGAGAGATCACAAGTAGGCAGGAAGGCAGGCAGAGAGAGAGAGGAAGGGAAGCAGGCTCCCCACGGAGCAGAGAGCCCGATGCGGGGCTCAATCCCAGGACCCTGGGATCATGACCTGAGCCGAAGGCAGAGGCTTTAACCTCTGAGCCACCCAGGCGCCCCTGAAGGATGTTTTTCATCAACGCAACTATGTTTGCTGAGCCAAGAGCTAGTTCACAGGAAAGGCACATCCCAAAGCAGTCAGCTCCTTTCCATGTATTGTCTGTATCCCCCAGGCCCTTGACATCTGACAAGCAATTTCTTAGTAAATTGACTCTATTCATTTTTCCTGAGGTTTGTTATCCTCCCAGAGGGAGAATTATTTTGTTTGGCAGGTAAAGTTAGTCCTACTTGGTGTCTGGCCAGCTAATCCTGCCTACAGCCCTGGGAGCATGCCCACTTAGGGCAAAGAGGAGAAATGGCTGGGTCAGATCCTCCTGCCCTCCATGTGCCACGTGGGGTCACCATGAGAATGATAACACTGTGGAAGGCTGGGGCTTTTCGCATTCCAAATACCTACAGCATCTGGTCTGGGGTGGCCATGGAATATGTCAGGAGGCAGAATGACAAAGAAAGGGAGCCCAGGCTCCAGGGCTCCGGGCTCAAACAGATTCAAATTTAAATCCAGCCTCCACATCTTCCTGGCTCTGGGACTTCAGGCAAAGTCACTCACCGAACCTCAGTTTTCTCAATGGAGAAATGCAGGTTCAGTAGTGTTCATCTGGCTGTTGTTAGACTATGGATATAAAATGTGAGGCCTATCATCTAGTCCTTGGAAAGTGCTGATATGATGGTACCAAAGCTGATGGCTTGGATTCTAATCTAGACAAGCCCCTTCTTTTCTCCTGTGGACATTGGCTGAATCAGATATTTAAGAGCCCTTGTATTTCTACTGCCTATCATGTCTTCCCTGTGATTTCAAAACTGAGAAAGTATAAAATTTCTAAATAAGGGTCACTGAGAGCAATTTTTTAAAAATCAGACTCTAAAAAATTAATATCCAGGTTATTCATATTTTCTGTATAGAACAAATAGGAAAGTAAACTCTGCAACCAAGTAGGCTTTAGGCAGGCTCCTGCCCCTCTGGCCTCAGTTTCCTCATCTGTATAAGGAGATTGGGCTGGAAGCTGTTTGCGGCCTGTTGGCTTTGACTGATTACGATCTGCTTATAATGACACATAGGGGCCTTTGCCTTCCCCTGACCTTCGTCTACTTTATCTTCAACTCCAGGTCTTAGGTTCTGATACCTGGTATTTACTTTGTTTTTAGTCCTGTGCAATTTCTTGACATATCAATTTTTAAAAAATATTTTATTTATTTGAGAGAGTGTGAGCAGAGGGTGAGGGAAAAGGAGATAATCTCCAGCAGATTCCATGCTGAGTGCAGAGCCCAATACCCGCTCCATCCCAGGACCCTGAGACCATGTCTGACCTAAGCCAAAACCAAGAGTCAGACACTTAAACCAGCTGAGCCACCCAGGCATCCATTGATTGATACAACATTTTTTAAAAGAATTTATTTTGAAGTAAGTTTATTTATATTTTCTTAAGATTTTATTTTTAAGTAATCTCTACACCCAACATTAGCCTTGAACTCACAACCCCAAGATCAAGAGTCACATGCTCCACTGACTGAGCCAGTCAGTTGCTCCTACTCCCTTATTTTTTTTTAAGATTTTATATTTTGAAGTAATTTTAAATTTACTGAAAAGTTGCAAAGACAGCATAGTAATTTCCTGAATAATTTCTCCCAATTCCTTATAATATTCACACCTGTGTGATCGTGGTATATTTGTCAGAACAAAGAGATTAATACTGGTACATTGCTCTTAACTGAATGACAGATTGCATTTGTAGTTCACTGCTTTTTCCACTGATGTTCTAGAAGTCAATGCAGGGTACCACATTGCACTGAGTCATCATGTCTCCTTAGTCTCCTCTAGTCTGGTAGTTTCTCAGTCCTTTCTTTTATCGATTTTAAGCAGTTTCTCCAGACTGGTATGAGAGATGAGTGTTTTTGATAAATTACACACTCCATTTTTCCTTTCCCCATCTTCCCCTTATATTTATCTTACTTTTTGGTATAATCTGTATTCATCGCTTTTGTTATTTTTTAGATTTATTTATTTATTTGAGACGGAGAGAGAATGGGGGAGGGAAGGAGAGGGCCAGAGAGTGTCCCAAGTAGACCATTTGGTTTCCAGCATAGTTACCAGCCCCCCTCAGTCACTTCATTACTTTTTTTTTTTTTAAAGATTTTATTTATTTGACAGACTGAGATCACAAGTAGACAGAGAGGCAGGCAGAGAGAGAGAGGGAAGCAGGTTCCCTGCCGAGCAGAGAGCCCGATGCGGGACTCGATCCCGGGACCCTGAGATCATGACCTGAGCCGAAGGCAGTGGCTTAACCCACTGAGCCACCCAGGCACCCACTTCATTACTTTTTTAAAAAGATTTTATTTATTTATTTGGCAGAGAGAAACACAGTGAAAGAGGGAACACAAGCAAGGAGAGTGGGAGAGGGAGAAGCAGGCTCCCTGCCCAGCAGAGAGCCCGATGGGGGGGTTCGATCCCAGGAGCCTGGGATCATGACCTGAGCCAAAGGCAGACGCTTAACGACTGAGCCACCCAGATGCCCCCAGTCACTACATTATTCAGAATCCTTCCAGTTGCATATGACAGAGCCATATCCTAAATGAGCTTTGGCAAAACTTTATCAGCTCAAAGAATGGCCAATAAGCCGTGGAAAGGAACATCATGATCAAGGACCTGAAATCTACAATAATTCTCTAGGTATCTTGTCTCCGTCCATCTCTTTCTCACAGACTAACTTTTCCACAAGGATGGAAAAATGGTGGCCCATAGTTACTGATTCCCTTATTCACCTACCCCCAACAAGGAGAAAACGGACAGTCAATCTGGTCTAAGTTTGAAATCCCAAGAGTTCTCATTGGCTCATCTGGAATCGAGTGGCCATTCTTGGATCAATCACCAGTGACTAGTGGTACAGGGCAATTAGAAAACATGGTGACTCTGAGAACCACCTGGTTGGAGCAGGGAAAGAAGCAATTCCCAGGGAAAGTGCTAAAAGCAAACACAAAGTTGGAAACCACACAAGAATTTTAGAGTAAATTCACATAAATTCACAAAAATACAGCTTTCAAAATCATCTCTGAAGTATATTAGAATCCAATTAAGGGACTACGGACATTGTTCCCAATGGCGATGACTGTAGTAGTCTTCACAACAGGTGAATTAGCCACCTATGGCTAATGAGTTCAGAAGGCTCACCCCTCCTTACAAAAGAGGACGTAGTAGAGCTCTATAAATAGACTGTTTAATATCCACAGGAACTCACCCATTCCCAGGCTTCAGTGTGCATCAGAATCAAGCGGGAGTTGGTAAAGCATGTACTTTCCCAGACCTACGCCTCAGATTTTGATTCAATTGTCTAGGGTGGAATCAAGGAATCTGCATTTTTTATGGCTCCCAGACGATGTTAATATAGGTGATCCACAAATCACACTGAGAAACCATGTGCCAGGCCACCTAGCTACAAAATCATAAAGATAAAGCACCTAGCACGTTGCCTGGCACATGATTTGTGTCCGGGAAAAAGCCCGAGAGAGGCCACATTAGCTGGTCCCATACCTGCACGGGACCTCTGATGCTCACTCAGTCCTCTGCGGCCTTGAGTAGGACATCTAGACTTCCCTTTGCCCTGTCCCCCAGCCTGCCGGGGAGAAGAGAATAAATAACAGCAGAAACATATTCATTTTATAAGCACTTGGTTTTATTGCACAGAAGCAATTGAAAGTGGACTTCAGTGGAAAAGTGCGCCCTGGCATGATTCAGTGGCCAGTGCCCAGCCCCACCTGCTCCAGCTCTTCCAGGATAGAGAGCTCTGGGCAAGGGCTCAGCCACTCCTTTGGAAAACAGAAGGCATTCAGGAATAGGTTAAGACATCTCAAGCATAATGTGTTTCTAACTGCTCATTCATTATTGCGATCATCTGTCAATTGCACATACAGGTAATAAATGCACTTATTTGGAAAGGAGGGGGTCAGTTTTTATAGTCAAGTGTTTACATATGGCATTCGGCATATATCACATTCGGCTACATAAGCTATCATAACATAACTGTCCATCGACTGCAGAGGGTTCGGGGTGTAGGGCCGGGGACTGGGAATACCCTCTCTTGCTAACCTATTGCTAATAGAAATTCCTGTTTGGTGAAGGAGGGCCCCATCACCTAAGCAAAGTTTCTTCTTATATAAAGAAAGGGAGAGAAAAATGAAAATTTGTTATGTTGACCCTTGAGCTCCTGGGCCCTCCTAAGTTTCTTTGGCTGTTCGGAGTCCTTTCTCCTGCCTTATTTCTCCGCCTTGGAAGCCTTGTCTTCCGTGGCCTTCTCTGCAGGCCTGCTGTCCTTGTGGTCTGTGCTAGAGGATTTCTCAGCCTTTTCTGTCTTGGCTTTGCCAGGTGTGGGGGCTTCTTTGCTGGGCTCTTCTTTGGCTTGGGCCTCTGCTTTGGGTTTCTCCTCAGGCTTCTTGGCCTCCTTGACATCTTTTTTCTCAGGTGCTGCCGGTGTCTCTTCCTTCTTTGGCTTCTCTGGCTCCTTCTCTGCCGCTTTGCTAGGTTCTTTGGCCTTGGCATCATCTTGCTCCTTCTTAGCCATCTCAGCCTTCTCTTTGGGTTTGGCCTCTTCCTTTACCTTGGCAGGAGCCTCCTTCTCTAGGGTCACTGCTTTTTTCTTATCTTCAGCCTCTTTCTTGGCTTCACCTTTGGATTCTTTGGGTTTCTCCACAGCCGGTTCCTTCTTGTCCTGGACCTCAGGTTTTGGAGCCTCCTTTGGCACCTCATCTTTTTTGCTGTCCTTCTTCTCCTCAGCTTTTGGTGTGGCTTTCTCATCCTCTACCTTCTTTGGGGGCTCTTTGACTTTCACTTCTTGGGGTTTCTCTTCCTCCTTTATGGGGGACTTTGCCTCTTCCTTCTTTGTGACCTCTTTCTCAGGAGCCTTGGTCTCTTCTTTCACAGGAGATTTGACCTTCTCTGAGGACTTGACCTCTTCCTTGACAGGGCTTTTTGCCTTTTCAGGAGATTTGATGTCTGCAGGGGACCTTACTTCTTCCTTTGCTGGAGTCTTGGCTTCTGGAGACTTAACATCAAGAGTCTTAGCCTTCTCTGGGGATTTGGCCTCCTCCTTCACTGGGGACTTGGCCTTCTCAGGCGACTTGG